CCGTGTGGGCAGAGACGCTGAGCTGCACAGCACACGGCCTGCCCCAGCAAGTGGCCAGGTCCCCCCCGTTGTCCCAGACCGGCTTCTTTGCCTGTGTTATGCAAGAGACCGATCCACACACACGGTTGAGGGATTGGATTTATTGACAGTTGTGCACCGAAGGGGGTGCCGGTTGGCAAGCCCCAAACCTTAGCAAGGTGTGGGAGACAACGTGGAATATGTGCAGTGGAAACATCAACCCTAGAGGAGAAACAGCTGCAGCCCGGGAGGACTCCTGGAGTAAGCTCAGCGAAACCTCATGTTGCGAAATCATTGTTTCGCATTACCTTATATTATGTAACCTCTCCCCCCCTGTTATCCCACGCTGCCTTCAATGGAATGCAGTTCCTGTTCTGCCCTGAAAGCGGGGTCCTGCCCCTATCCTAACCCCGTTGGCTGTTCCTCCTGCCTTTCCCCGGTTCCTGGGTTCCTACTGGGTATTACCTCCCTGTCTCTCTCATTGGCTGGCCAAGTAGCGAAACCCCTCCCTTTCTCCCAGAATCCTTATAAGCTGCGGGAAACTTGAATACAGCCTGCCTACCTGCCTGCGTGCCATGTGTTCACTGCTGCGTCCTGCACCTGGGCCCACAGCGCTGCAATTCCATCCCGGTGAGGTGGATAGCAGAGAGCATTTCCCTTTCAATCCTTTCAGCAAGGCAATTCTCCTGAAAAGGAACTTCTGTGTCTGACCCGGGGCCGTGCCGCGGCCATGGCTGGCTGCCGCAGTTGGTGGCACCGCCAGCTGCCGGATGCAGACAGGGCTGAGCTCTGGGGAGGCCGCGGGCACTGCGGCCCTGCGGGAGCTGTTGGCTGGGGCTCAGCTGGAGCATCTGGGATAGGAAAGCGGGCCAGCCTTGTGCTGGGCACAGCTGCTTCCAACCAGTTGCAGTCAGCAGCCATAAGCTGTGCGCCCCCAGGCCTGCTGCCCCAGGGGTGCTGGGCAATGGCCCATTGTGACGCCTTGCCGGGCCCTTTGTGATGCAAGGCCTCCTTGGGCCCAGAGGCCATTGTGACACCACGGGGCCCCACCCTGACCGGGAGGGTAATGAGGGAGGACAGGGCCCTGGAGTGCCCACTCCCAGGAGAGCCTCTGTGTCAGGAGGCAGCATCTCTCTCGGGGACCTCAGCGGCGGAGGAAGAAGCCGACATAGAAGATGAACAAGTTCAGCGACTTGCAGAAGCGCAAGTGGTTGCCGAGCTGGCAGAGGAAGCACAAGGTGAGGGATAGGGTAATAGAGAGCTGCCTTGGTGCCAGGGCGGGCTGGGCTTGCGGGCACCCAGAGGTCGGATGTGCCGTGGCAACCGCCTCCATCCCACACCACCTTCTCCTCCTCCTCCTCCTCCT